AATGCTAGATATTAAACAAACTTAAAATCCAGAGATAGGGAGTAATAAAATGAGCTAGGTATAGGGAGACTGAACTCAGTATCAATCCAGTAATATTCAGGGAGAAACAAACAGTTTTACCTAAGAGAGGTTGTTCAGTTCACAAGGCAGTACATTCACTCTAGCGGAAGACGGAGTACACGGATAGATAGCATGAACGTCACAGTCACCGTAAAAGTATATCCCAAACTATAAGCGAGTGAACTGACATTCTGGTTATAAACTCAGCGAGTTTGTTTAGGTAAGGGGCTAAAACTGCTTTTAGATCTCTAAGCCTGATAGAGCAGAAGCAACTGAGGTATATCTAACAGCCCAACCAAAACCATTCAAAGGCTAGTCAGCTGAATTCTACAAAAATCCCCCAAACTAATTCTAGACACATAATTTAACACTCCTTCTCACCTAAACATGTTCCCCAAGGGCAACTGATGAGGGTTCTAACAAATCACATTTTGATGACATTATTATTACACTATGAGACAGGCCAGCAGCAGATAGGAAGGGGCGAAATGAAGGGGTCATGAGAAACCAGGAACTAGGCAGCAAGTCTGGGAGTAAAGCGAGGTTTGGCTGCAATCAAGGATGAAGTTGTGCTGGAAAAAAAAAAGGTATGTGACAGGGTGACCTTATCACTTCTTGCTTTTACTAGTTGTTGTTAAACAACAAACATAACAAGAGTCAGCAGGTACATCATTACAAGGACCAAACACAGCCTTTTCAATACATAAAACAAACGTAACGGCAAGATGCCCTTGATTTATAAATGTGTATCCTGTGCGCATTAAGTGTTTGTACAAGTAGACTAAACGTGTCACTGGGGTCTGGAGCTTCTCATGAATATGCTTGGGTCGCAGAAGTGCTGTGAGAAGATTAATATAACAAGGGACTCGCTGCAAAAAGATGACAGATGAAAGATTTAAAGTGTTTTTCAGCTTATGAGGAATTTTCCAACTCACAGAAGTAAATCGAAGCCACTTTCTTGGCAAGGCAAGCTACTCAGCAAGAAGAAAGACCTCATAATGCATATCTGGACTATCAAAGCAAGTAACTGGGAGCCTTCCCTAGGGATAAGTGAAGGTAGTATACATCCATGGACACTGGAATACAAATAAGAAACAAGAATCCAAAACTTTTTAAAGGATACGGTCTGTACCAGGAAACAATGTTCTTCCAGTCAACAGCTCGGCCATTATGCATCCCACTGACCAAATATCAACTGGCAAAATTAAAGAGAAATAAAAGTACGTGCAATGTCACTATTATTGTACTTGGCCACAAATGGAACCATAACAAGGGGTGAAACATTCAAATGAATATTTAAGTCATCTGCAGCTCAACAATCACACTCATTTTTATAAAAATAAGTAAGCCCTTCACCCCGCTAAAAGGCTATTCATAGGTAGCATAAGTCAAAACACACTTAAATTAAGAAAAATAAGCTGTTCAAAAAGGGGCAAAAATTTCTTATTGGTAGAATGGTGGATTATCCAAGTAATATTGAGGGTTAAGATTATGAACCCATTGTCTTCAGGCAGAAGTACTCAGAGAATATGTTGAAAATCTAAATAAATAAAAATCCAATTGCTAAATTACAAAGTTTGAAAGCTGTGTATAAAAATCCCGCTTCCGCATCTGAGCAAGAGAAATATTTTCTATTTGTGGGCTCTAAAAGGATCATTGAGGGAAGAAAAGATATTTCCTCCCACTCCCACCATGTCTACTTCTGCGAATCCCAAATACATCC